GAAAAAATGGCAGATTGCCTCAGAGGGCTATTGGAGTGGGCCTGGGTCAGGATGTTATATCTCCAAGTTGTGTCATATGCCTTCTCTAGGTCAAAAAAGATGAGTGGTTATTGCCAAAGGCATTACGAATATGTATACTTAAGGGAAGTAAGGGGTCAATAGTAGAATCGCCCTTATGAAAGCCATATTAACTAGTGAAGAGACTATTGTGTGTCTCTAAATACTGCATTAGATTTCTATTTACCAGACATTCCATTACCTTGCAAACTGCACTGGTAAGAGCAATGGGACAATAGTGGGAGCTATCATGTCCCATAGTACCCAGTTAGTGGAAAGAGAGAACAGTGGCAGATTTCCACAGCTGGGGAAGAACTCCTTGTGAACAAATAAGATTAAAGAGTCATAAGAGGACAGCAAGGGCTAACTGATGTAAATGCTGGAGCATATGAAAACGAATGCAGTCAGGCCCAGCTACCGATGATCAGCAAGTGGAGTGTGTTGCCTCCAGTTCTAGAAGTTTAAAAGGCACATTATAAGACTTTTCTCTGATAGAAGAAAAGTCTAAGGGCTCTAACTCTCTGGCAGACTTAGAGGAAAGAAGTAAGTGGCATAGATGGGAGTCCTTGAGAGATACCTAGAAGATGATTACTGGTTTTGGTGGTAATGTCAAGAGGGTTTGTTATAGTGACACTGGCAACCTGAAGAACGGGAGCCTGGTCGGGAGAGTATTTACCACTCAGTTTCAATACTTTTTTCCAGAGTGCACTCATAGAGGAAGCCAAAGTGATGGTAGAAACATAATCCCGCCGGCAAGTGTCATGGATGACACAGCGGGCGACCACTCTGTTCTGCTTAAAATGAAGGATTCACTTTGTAGTTCTATTGTACCTACCCCACACAGCACATTTCAAACGTACTGCCCGAGCACAAGCCGGAGACCACCAAGGCACACACCTCTGAGAGTGCTGGCCCGAGGTTTGGGGTATAGAATGTGAAGCTGTGGTTAAAACTGATGTCGAGAAGAGGTGTAAAAGCTCATCAAAGGAAGACGAAGAAGGATCTTCACTAAAAGCATTTTGACGTGAGTAAAGATCCCAATTCTCTCGGTCAAATTGCCAGTGTGGTCTACGAGGAGGTGGTGAATACGAAGGAGAAGTAAGGATGATTGGAAAATGATCGCTGTCATGTAAGTCCGGGAGGACAGACCAGGTGAAGTCTAGTACAGTTGAGGAAGAGCAGACTGAGAGATTGATGCAAGAGAGAGAATGAATATGAGGATCAAAATGGGTGGGAGTACCCGTATTTAACCCTTTGACTGTTTTGGTCGTATATATACGTCTTACGAGGTACCATGTTTGACGTATATATACTCATAAATTCTAGCGGCTTCAAATCAAGCAGGAGAAAGCTGGTAGGCCCACATGTGAGAGAATAGGTCTGTGTGGTCAGTGTGCACCATATAAAAAAATCCTGGAGCATGCAGTGCATATTGAGAAAAAAAAAACTCCGAACGTTTTTTTTAATTAAAATGCCGACTTTGTGGTCTATTTTCATATAGTATTTATGGTTCTATTCTCGTTTTCTTGGTCTCACTTGATAGAATGGAAAACATATTATAGAAATAGAGGTGATTTTGATTGGTTTTACTATAAAAAGAACCTGGAAATGGAGCTCAAAGTAGGGGAAATGTTTGATTTTTGTCGATGTTCAAAAGTAAACAAGTGATGTCATTGTCCAATAAATGTCCAACTAGCCATTCTAATATGCAGTCATGAATGGGTTGATGTTATTTATACAATTATTACAATATTGCAGTAGTCTGCATAACAGTAAATCTTCTATTTTTTGTTTGAATAAAAATTCAAAGTAGAAAGAAAGAGTAATATCAGAGGGGCCTGGAGACGTGATTGATAAACAAAGAAAAAGTTATTTTAGAGCCAGGAATGTCTGCATTGTTCATTCTGGACCTTATTTTGAAATTGTCATATTTTTTAACCCATAAACGGTCCAAACGTATATATATGTTTTTACTGCTAGTGCCCCAAACATATATATACGTTTTATGTGTCATACATTTAACATTGCCATGATAAGCCTGAGTCACCTAGACATGAGAGAATGGGTGCGAGCACTTACTGTGCACCATATTAAAATAATTGGGGATGCCTGGGTACCATATGCTCTTTTTTCCTATTAAAAAACAATGTTTTTTTTTTTTTGCAAAAAAGTTGGGGCAGTACGGTAGTGAACGTATATATACGTTTGGACCGTTTACGGGTTAATTTTCGTGAAATTGGCCAAATTGCAAATTTCTGACCACGTTATTGGGTAGTTGAAATCGGTAAATGGGTAGTTTCTTGTACTCAATCGACAGAAAAAATGGAGTTCTAAAGAAACAGCTATGAGTTTGGTTGACTGGAACAATGGAATTAGCCAAAAATAGGGCTCAAAGTGGACGAAATTGCCAATTTGTAAATATCGCCGAAGTCGCTAACTTCGTGAGAGTGTAATTCCGTCAGTTTTCCATCAAATTTTCGATTTTTTGGTGTCGTTACAATCAGGAAAAGATTCTCTATCATTTTACAAGAATTTTTTTTTTTTTTTTTAAATTTTGCGACACCAGGAGACACCTCAGGATTGGGGGTTGCGACAGTCAAGGGGTTAAACTATGGAAGTGGTGAGAAGTGAGAAAAGCCTCCAACTGAATGCCGTGGGAGTCACAGTGAGACCCCCCAGAGGAAATGGTGAGCATTAAATTGCCAAGTAATAGAAGTGGTGGTGGTAAGGAAAAAAACAGAAATGCAACATCTGGGATAGATAATGCCCAAGGAGGAGAGAAATACAAAGAACAGATTGTATACCACTTATTCAAGTGGATGCAGTCTGCAATGTAATGCAGCAATGTATGAACAAAGAGCTGATGGTGTGGAATACCAGTGTGTTAAGAAATGCACTTTCATTAAAGGTTCCATCAGGAAAAGGATCCGATGAATATAATAAAATATAGCCTGAGATGGGATGGATAACAGCAGAGCATAATTTGGATTCTTATAAACAAACACAAACAGAGGAAAACTGGGAGAGCAACACCTGAAGCTCACCCCGGTTACCTCTGAGGCCTCGGATATTCCACTGTAAGTAAGCCATGATTTGCAAAGAGAAGGATACAAGAAATCTGAAGGTAGAGGTATCTACAAACTAGAAGGGTTAGAAAAGTCCACATGTGGAGACAGCAGAAAACGCACAAGCAGCGAAGGGTTGGAACGCTGCGAAGAAAGGAGTTGTGCAGATGGAGAAATGTGAAGAGAGGCGACAGGAGGTGGATTGGTGTCCATTAATGGTTTAGTCTCCTCATTATATTTGGAGATAGCTTCAAGAGTTTCAGAGGACAAGGACGTTGTATGTGGGACGATACTGGAGAGGGAAGGAGGAGGGTGAGTAAGGATCGGGGCAACGATGGAATTTACCAAAGTGTGGGGGGGAGGGAAGGTTAGAGGGAACTGGAGAAGAAGCTTGGGAGGGGACAGGCGAGGAAGCAATCTGGGAGGGGACAGAAGAGGAAGAAACTTGGGAAGGGACAGGGCAGGAAGGTACTGTACGAGGAGGGATGAACCTCCACGCTCGCAATAGGGCTAGTAGAGGTGAAGAACCAGGTACAGAGACTGGGAAGGAAAAATGTGAAGGTAGAAGGGAAAGAGGGGTTAACCCTTAAATGGTCCAAACGTATATATACGTTTTTTCAACATATGAAAGTATGTAAAAAATGTAGATCTTCTTTTTTGTTTTACATTTGAAAACGTGTAAAAAAAACTTTAATCTACATTTTTTTTTTTGTTATATTTGAAAATATGTAAAAAAAAGTAGATCTACTTTTGTAGCTACGAATTTGAACGTCGATCTGTTTGGACCGTTTAAGGGTTAAAGAAGATTTTAACGATGGGGAATTTTTGGACTTTGGAAAGTAGAGGGGCGATGGGGAGGAGTTGTTGTATGAGGTCTTGTAGACATAGAAACTTGTGAGTGAAAAGATGAAAAGGTGAGAACAGAATGAGGTGGCAAGTTAGGAACCTTTGAGTCCAGGACTGCAAAAGAATTAGAGATGGATGACTGTGGAGGGGGTGACCACAGAGGAGGCTGCGGAAGTTGGGACCCCAGAGATGGGGGGTCATTTAGTAACTCGAGAATAAGAAATACGGGGAAGTTTCCTCTGGAGGCATAGATAAGAGACTGCCACGGCCTCTTTGAGACAACTGATTTCTCGCTCATTTAAGTAAACCTAGCAATGGCTAGAGTAAGATGGGTGAGCTTCATGAAAATTAAGGCAAGAGGGAGGTAGACTGTAAGATGTATTGGTATGGTCGTCGGCATTAGAGACTGGGTATTCGGCCATGGACCTGTAATATTTTGCTGGATGACCAAAATGCCAGCACTTTCTACACTGTTGTAGTGTAGGGATCGCCTTTTGAACTTGTAAACGGAAAGATAGTCAGGAGAAGAAGTCTACCACAGAGTAAAAAACTTAGTCCATTGTGTATTTTGAAACATAGTGTGTAAGGGGAGTGAGTGTCATGCTGGTCTCTTCTGGGCAGCGTGAGAAAGAAGCGAAGGATCATCATCAGTTAATGGTCTTAGGCGTTTAGGTGTGGGACCGGAGTTGTTCTGATGTGGGATGGGTTGGCGATCCGAAAATCGCCACACCATAGAGGGAGAAGCCAGAAGCATGGTCAAAGAAGTGCGGGGGGTCAGATGTATCAAAGGAGTCCATCACAACTCCCTGGGTCTCCATCCTTGCAGTGCAACTACAACAAATTCATGAGGCGATGTTTCCTAACAACTTTTCTTGCTATTTGTTATTTTGTTTTTCTTGCTGTTCTGTTTGCTGTAACTGCCTGCAGGTAGTTACAACAAACATCAATTACAGCATCACTTGCAGGTAATTATAACAAGCATCAACGATAGTATCACCTGGAGGTAGTTACAAGTCTTAACAGTAATCTCACCTGCAGGTAGTTAGAACAAGCCTCAACGATGGTGAGCACCTGGACATGGGCAGCAGCAGCCAGAACATCCTGAATGTTAGCCAGATTGAGAGAGAGCCGGCTGGTGTAAGCATACTCCAGCAGGCACTGTAGACCAGCAGCACTCACACCGTTCAGACATATCTCCGACTGGCACCGTTCTCGCATCTCATCCGTGAACATGGCACGGAAGTAATCACTGCACGACGCCAGCACCACGCGATGAGCCTGCAACAACAACACCAACAATCACATATACAAAATACATATTAAAACCAAGAATGAACTTGACTCAAAAACTGGGCCTGGGTTTTCAGAGTTTAGGGTTGGCTGTGAGAGCTTTGAAATCTGGGCTCAGTCCCAGGTTCCAATTTTCTGGATTTGAATTACACAGGTATGAACCTGTAAATTTATATTTCAATACTTTCAATGTAAAAATGTAACAATTTACATAAATGTCAAAAAACATAAAATGAAAATAGCATATATGTATTAAAATACAATAAAGCTAACGGAATCCTTGGCTTCATATCTAGAAGTATAAATAATAGAAGTCCTCAGGTTGTTCTTCAACTCTATATATCCTTGGTTAGGCCTCATTTAGATTATGCTGCTCAGTTCTGGTCACCATATTACAGAATGGATATAAATGCTCTGGAAAACGTAGAGGAGGATGACAAAGTTGATCCCATGTATCAGAAATCTTCCCTATGAGGAAAGACTGAGGCCCTGAATCTGCACTCTCTAGAAAGGCACAGAATTAGGGGGGATATGATTGAGGTGTATAAATGGAAAACAGAAATAAATAAAGGGGGATATAAATAGGAAAGCACTGGTTTGGTAATAGTTGTGGATGAGTGGAACAAACTCCTGAGTACCGTCATAGAAGCTAAGACCTTGTGTAGTTTTAAAAATAGGTTGGATAAATACATGAGTGGGTGTGGGTGGGTGTGAGTTGGACCTGACTAGCTTGGGCTACCAGGTCTGGTGCCGTGCTCCTTCCTTAAGTGGAAGTGACCTGACTAGGTGGTCATTGTTCTAGGCCGGGGAGTGGCATGGACCTGCTTCACATGGGTCAGTAGGCCTGTTGCAGTGTTCCTTCTTTCTTATGTTCTTATGAAAGACAATTATTTTATTTTTTTTATTAACACATCAGCCGTCTTGCACTAAAACAGGGTGGCCCGAAAAACAAAAACTTTCACCATCATTCATTCCATCACTGTCTTGCCTCTGGCAAGACAGTGATGGAATGAACATTAACACCCTTCCTTGAGAGTGCAGGCACTGTACTTCCCATCTCCAGGACTCAAGTCCAGCCTGCCAGTTTCCCTGAATCCCTTCATAAATGTTACCTTGCTCACACTCCAACAGCACGTCAAGTCCTAAAAACCATTTCCCTCCATTCACTTCTATCTAACACTCTCATGCATGCTTGCTGGAAGTCCAAGCCCCTCGCACACAAAACTTCCTTTACCCGCTCCCTCCAACCTTTCCTAGGCCAACCCCTACCCCGCCTTCCCTCCTCTACAGATTTATACACTCTCGAAGTCATTCTATTCTGTTCCACCCTCTATACATGTCCAAACCATCTCAATAACCCCTCCTCAGCCCTCTGGATAATAGTTTTGGTAATCCTGCACCTCCTCCTAATTTCCAAACTACGGATTCTCTGCATTATATTCACACCACACATTGGCCTCAGACATCTCCACTGCCTCCAGCCTTCTCCTTGTTGCAACATTCACCACCCATGCTTCACACAAATATAAGAGGGTTAGTATAACTATACTCTCATACATTCCCCTCTTTGCTTCCATGGACAAAGTTCTGTCTCCACAGACTCCTATGTGCACCACTGAATACATTCACCTCCTCCATACTCTCTCTCTCCAAAAGCAGTGTCATCAGCAAAGAGCAACTGTGACAACTCCCACTTTGTGTTAGATTCTTTATCTTTTAACCCAACACCTCTTGCCAACACCTGAGCATTCACTTCTGACAATCCCATCTATAAATATACTGAACGACCATGGTGACATCACACATCCTTATCTATGGCCTACTTTTACTGGGAAATAATCTCCCTCTCTCCTACATACTCTAACCTGAGCCTCACTATCCTCGTAAAAACTCTTCACTGCTTTCGGTAACTTATCTCCCATCCCATACATTTGCAACATCTGCCACATCACTTCCCTATCCACCCTGTTATATACCTTTCCATATCCACAAATACCACAAAAACCTCTTACCCTCATCTACATACAGTGGACCCTCGGTTATCGGCCATAATCCATTCCAGAAGCTCGGCCTAAAACCAAAATGGTTGATAACTGAAATAGTTATTCCCATAAGAATTAATGTAAATACAATTAATCCGTTCCAGACAAAAATACACGTATTCACAAAAAAAAAAAAAAAAATTTAACAATTAAATCAGTATTACATACCTTTATTGAAGACTAAGGCAGCCTCACCATGCCTTACCACACTGTGTATGCCACTACGCTTCTTAAATCTCTCAAACCAGCTTTTGCTGGCCCTAAATTCACCAACAGCACCACTTGTTCCAGGAGTTTTCTTCACAAGATCTTCATGCAACTGTCTTGCCTTCTCACAAATAATCGACTCCACAACACTGTCTCCCGCTAAATGTTTTTCCTTAATCCACAAAAACAATAACTTTTCTATAACTTCTATTATTGGTGACCTTTGTTTCGTAATCACATTTACTCCTTTCACAACATCCGCTTCCTTGATTTGTTCTTTCTTTGCCAGGATGGAAGTGATGGTAGATTTATTTTTCCCATACATCCTGGCAAGTTCCAGCACCCTCACACCAATCTCATATTTTTCAATAACTTCTCGCTTAAATTCCATGGTGTTTCTCACTTTCTTTGCCACAGGAACTTTACTAGGAACTTCCTTTGGAGCCATGGTTACGAATTTCGCAGTTGCACTGACAAAAAAATACCAAAAACAATGAAAAACAAGCAAAATGTTTGTATGAGCACCGAGAGACACAGCCAAACTGACGCACAAGCCGGCCCAGCCAGAGGAGGGACATGTCCAATAAGGCTGATAAGTGAAATAATGGCCAATAACCGGTAGCTGAAAAACTGGCCTATAACCGAGATGGCCGATAACAGGAACGGCCGTTAACCGGGGGTTCACTGTATTTAAATCCACAAAAACTGGCATAGTACATAGTACACAATTATATATTTAAAAAAAAAGTCATAATTTTATTATTTTACAATAAAGAATCCTTTATCTGAAATTCCAAAATCCAAAAACCTCCAAAATGGGAAAGTTTTTCAAGGTCGGCACAATGCACCACAAATGGGTCATTCAGTTTGTTGCGAACAGTAATTATTCAGTGATTACCGTGTGTTCTGGGCTCTGTGGTGTGTGAAGATATTCTTGAAAATGTTGTAAAGGTCTATGGGTGATAGTAAAAAGAAGAAGAGGAAGTATTTATGTTCGTATCACAGAAAGTTAAGTTATTGGAAGAACTTGAGAGCGGTGTAAGTGCGAAGCATCTGACTGAGCAGCTTGGTGTTGCAACAACCACTATCTATCACCTAAACAAACACAAGGACAATCAGAGATCACCACTCACTTGGTAGGCCTCACCACCAAGAAGCACAGATCAGCTCTTACCTGGAAGGCCTTACCACCAACAATCAGAGATTACCACTTCCCTAGAAGGCCTCGCCACCAATAATCAGAGATCACCACTTACTGGAAGGCCTCACCACCAATAATCAGAGATCACCACTTACCTGGAAGGCTTCACCACCAGCAATCAGAGATCACCACTTACCTGGAATGCTTCACCACCAGCAATCAGAGATCACCACTCACCTAGAAAGCTTCACCTCCAGCAATCAGTGTTACATCACTTACCTGGAAAGCTTCACCTCCAGCAATCAGTGTTACACTACTTATCTGGAAAGCTTCACCTCCAGCAATCAGTGTTATGTCACTCACCTGGAAAGCCTCACCTCCAGCAATCAGTGTTACATCAAGTAATAAGCCCTTGGAGCGTAAAGTGTTGAGGCCAAAGAGCAAGGTGCCAGTGTGTGAGGGATGCTCAAACTGTACAGTGTTGAGCGGTCGCGGGGCCACCGTCGCCCCACCGCTCCGTGTCATCCTCACATCACCTGCAAAAGTTTGATGAATGTCACAACAGAAAATGCAACTGTCACCATAGAGTAATACAGAATAAAAAAGACAATACAGCGACTAGAACAATATATAAATAACCCAAATATAGGAGACAAATAACAAAAAAAAAAAGGCACAATACCGTGACTGGAACGATGCACAAAGTTGGACCGAAATGTCGTCGTAAGCTCCTCTCTTTTACGTGCGGGTGATTTGTGTATAGGAGACAAACTTATGACAACTGGTTAATGGCTGAAGTTGGACCAAAACCTCGTCACAAATTTCAGTCTGGTATGTGCCAGGTATTTGAGTAGTAAACAAAGCAAAATATAGCCTTAAGAAAGTGAAAGACTCACCCCAAGGCAGAGTACTGCCACCTGTACTGTTTCTCCTCCTCATACTGGACGTGCATTATAATTAAATTAAATTAAAAATTTTATTTATGAGCCATTCAAAGAAGGTACAGGTGAGTGCTAACACTCACAGGTCAGTGCTAACACTCACAGGTCAGTGCTAACACTCACAGGTCAGTGCTAACACTCACAGGTCAGTGCTAACACTCACAGGTCAGTGCTAGCACTCACAGGTCATTGCTAACACTCACAGGTCAGTGCTAACACTTACAGGTGAGTGCTAACACTCACAGGTCAGTGCTAACACTCACAGGTGAGTGCTAACACTCACAGGTCAGTGCTAACACTCACAGGTGAGTGCTAACACTCACAGGTCAGTGCTAACACTCACAGGTGAGTGCTAACACTCACAGGTCAGTGCTAACACTCACAGGTGAGTGATAGCACTCACAGGTCAGTGCTGACACTCACAGGTCAGTGCTAACACTCACAGGTCAGTGCTAACACTCACAGGTGAGTGCTAACACTCACAGGTCATTGCTAACACTCACAGGTCAGTGTGTTCTGCAATGTGCTTACAATCATGTTACTATGATTTCTTGGGTCAACAGATCTTGACAATTTAACCAGCAGAGGTTAATCACAGTTTCAAAATTTCATTAAATCAAGGGTTTACTGTAGTTATACATTAAAACTGTGTTTTAGAAAGTGAATTTTATTATAATACAGATATACTCTGATGCAATTATCAGCTCAGAAGAAAGCTACTATGTAAAGCATTTCTGGCACACACAAATAATAATAATAATAATAATAATAATAATAATAATAATAATAATAATAAGTCTCTCCTCACTTGACAGGGTTCCATTATAGTGGAACCTCAAATATCGAACTGCTCCCAACTCAACCAATTATGTAAGTGTATTTTTGTAAGTGCTTTTATAAGTGTATTTTTGAGGGTCTGAAATGAACTAATCTAATTTGCATTATTCCTGATGGGAATAAATTTGTTCGGTAACGGCACTCGAACAGTCATCTGGAATGAACAAAGTTCGAAATTTGAGGTTCCACTGTACTAAGAGTAGGTCGGCAGGCGTATTGGTCATTAAGTGAGGAGCATACTGTACTGGTAGTTTGGTCATTAAGTGAGGAGCATACTGTACTGGTAGTTTGGTCATTAAGTGAGGAGCATACTGTACTGGTAGTTTGGTCATTAAGTGAGGAGCATACTGTACGGGTAGTTTGGTCTTAATGAGGAGCATACTGTACTGGTATTGGTCATTAAGTGAGGAGCATACTGTACTGGTAGTTTGGTCATTAAGTGAGGGATCTGTACGGTAGTTTGGTCATTAAGTGAGGAGCATACTGTACTGGTAGTTTGGTCATTAAGTGAGGAGCATACTGTACTGGTAGTTTGTGTCAACTATCTTTAGATTATTTTTATGTCACCTTTGCACCATTTATAACATTTCTAATATATTTTTAAATGTTTATACAGTAGTGTACTGTATACTGTGATAAAGAAATCAGTTCTAATATACATTACAGAGGAACCCTGGTTTTCATCCTTAATCCATTCCAGAAGACACTTGAAATCCAAAATGGACGAAAATTGACGTAATATTTCCCATAAGAAATAATGTAAATCCAATTAATCCATTCCAGACACCCAAAAATATCAACAAAAATACATTTTATGGAGAATAACTAGAGTTTTACATACAGAAAAAATGAGAAATATGACTAATTTTACTGGATAAATGAACATTTAAATCACTATTACATACCTCTATTGAAGACTCTTGTTGGCACACGGAAGATGGTGAAGAGGGGAGAGGGAGGAGAGGTTATCTCTACCATCATCACTACCACCCTCTACCACCATCACAACCACTACCACCCTCTACCACCATCACAACCACTACCACCCTCTACCACCATCACTACCACCCTCTACCACCATCACAACCACTACCACCCTCTACCATCATCACTACCACCCTCTACCACCATCACAACCACTACCACCCTCTACCATCCATACACCCTCTACCACCATCACAACCACTACCACCCTCTACCATCATCACTACCACCCTCTACCACCATCACTACCACTTTCTACCACCATCACTACCACCATCTACCACCATCACAACCACTACCATCCTCTGCCACCATCACTACCACCCTCTACCATAATCACTACCACCCTTTACGAAAGTCACTACCACCCTCTACCACCATCACAACCACTACCAACCTCTACCACCATCACTGCCACCCTGTACCACCATCTGAACTTTCTTTGGCCCCATGGTGGCTTATTTAGCAGTTGCACTCAATAAACAAGCACAAAAAACAATCGATTATTATGAAATGTTTCGGATGAACACATGGCATATTGCTCACTCAATACGTGACAGAGGCGTAATGAGTCACATACGTGTGAGAGGTGTGTCCTGGGCGGGCGGACACGTCTGATATGGACGATTTCCAAGTGGAGGTACGAAACCCGGGGTAAAATTTCGCCAAATAAAAGTGGTCGAAATCCAAATTGTACGATATCTGCACCAGACAAAATCCAGGGTTCCACTGCATTTAGGTTTGCATACTGGTTGGAGAGTTGGTCTTAAATCTGAGCAGTCGGTAAACAAGCATGTCGCTAAATGATGGGAGGCTGTAATAATACTGTAATAAGAATAATAATACAGGCATACCCTACTGATACAGTGGGTTAGGCTTCTGACCACCACCGTAAAGTGAATATCACCTTAAAGTGAATCACAGCCTTATTTTACTTGCCCATGCATATAAAAGAATAAAAACATATTTACGTTATTGTTTATTAGCCCTCTGACTGTCACAACCCCAAATCCTGAAGTGTCTCTTGGTGTCGCAAAATATTTGAAAAAAAAAAAAAAAAATTCTTATGAAATGATAAGAGAATCTTTCCCCGACGATAATGACACCAAAAGTACAAAATTTGATGGAAAACTTATGAAATTATGCCCTGGCGAAGTTTGCGACCTCGGCAACATTTGTGTGCATCGGCGATTTCGCCCATTTTGAGCCCTATTTTTGGCCCCTCCCATTGTTCCAGTCGACCAAACTCAGAGCTATTTCTTTAGAACTCCATTTTTTCTATAGATTGAGTACAAGAAACTGCCCATTTACCGATTTCAACTACCCAATAAAGTGGTGAGAAATTGGCAATTTGGCCAATTTCATGCAAATTAAAAAAATTGTCAATTTCAAAACAGGGTCCAGAATGAACAATGCAGACATTTCTGGCACTAAAATAACATTTTCTCTGTTCATCAGTCACATCTCCAGGCCCCTGTTATAATACTCTTGCTTTATTTTGAATTTTTATTCGCACAAAATATATAAGATTTACTGTTATGCAGATTACTGCAATACTGTAATAATTGTATAAATAACGTCAACCCATTCGTGACTGCATATTAAAATGGCTAGTTGGACATTTATTGGACAATGACATCATATGTTTACTCTTGAACAGCGGCAAAAATCAAACATTTCCTCTATTTGAGCTCCATTTCAAGATCCTTTTCATAGTAAAACCAATCAAAATCACTTCTATTTCTATAAAAAAAATTCCACTCTATCAAATGAGAGCAAGAAAACAAGAATACAACCATAAATGCTATATGAAAATACACTTCAAAGTTGGCATTTTAATCCAAAAACATGGTTGGAGTTTCTTTTTTTTATTATGCACTGCTTGCTGCAGAATTTCTTTTATACTGCACACACTGATGACACAGACCCATTCTCTCACATGTGGGCCCACCAGCTTTCTCCTGCTTGATTTGAAGCTGCTAGAACTTTTGAGTACTGTAGGGCCTCGCTGTATGGCATTTCGCCTGATGGCGTTCCGCTAATACAGCGATTTCAAATTATGACCAAACTTTCTATACAGCAAGCGGTCTTTCAAATGCTGTGCGCGCCACCCGGTTTGTTTACATATTCTGTGAGCACATCTCTCTATTATGTAATAATAATCACTTTTGGGCACATTAAATGTTTTATATTACATTAATATAGACTTTTCATTAATCCATCTATACTATTTTCTTCAAAATTATATAAGAAACATGTTACATAGTACATGAACATTTTATGTTTATATACTATGGAGGTGTGGTAGCCAGGCGGAGGGAAAACATTGTCACTCCCCTTAATACCTAAGGCTTTTGTTTACAATTTTCGGCATGAATTATTCATTACTTCTCCCTTTGTTTGTGATGGCATCTAAAGGTAGTTGGTAGAAATGATTAAACTCAGTGAACATGGTATGTCGTTGTAATAATATGGCTCTGGGCCACATTAAATATCGTGCAGCTATGTAGGTAGGTGTAGGTATGTAGCCCATGTGGACTACATACCCACATTACTATTATAACTCATAATTATACTTATGTGTACCTGTACTTAAGTAAACTTACACACTGTGCTGGCATGCAGGTACACATTAAAATCACTAAGAGTGTCTTACTAGTCTTGAAGATGCCATATTAATAATGATAATAATAATAACACAATAATAATCCATCTAAATACACCCCACAGTAGAATAAATTAATAAATATGAGATGTGGTACCCAGGTGACTTGTAGTAGCCAGACGACTTGTAGGACTTGTGGTAGTCAGGCGACTTGTAGGACTTGTGGTAGCCAGGCGACTTGTAGGACTTGTGGTAGCCAGGCGACTTGTAGGACTTGTGGTAGCCAGACGACTTGTAGGACTTGTGGTAGCCAGGCGACTTGTAGGACTTGTGGTAGCCAGGCGACTTGTAGGACTTGTGGTAGCCAGGCGACTTGTAGGACTTGTGGTAGCCAGGCGACTTGTAGGACTTGTGGTAGCCAGGTGACTTGTAGGACTTGTGGTAGCCAGGTGACTTGTAGGACTTGTGGTAGCCAGGTGACTTGTAGGACTTGTGGTAGCCAGGACTTGTAGGACTTGTGTAGCCAGACTTGTGGACTTGTGGTAGCCAGGTGACTTGTAGGACTTGTGGTAGCCAGGTGACTTGTAGGACTTGTGGTAGCCAGGTGACTTGTAGGACTTGTGGTAGCCAGGTGACTTGTAGGACTTGTGGTAGCCAGGTGACTTGTAGGACTTGTGGTAGCCAGGTGACTTGTAGGACTTGTGGTAGCCAGGTGACTTGTAGGACTTGTGGTAGCCAGGTGACTTGTAGGACTTGTGGTAGCCAGGTGACTTGTAGGACTTGTGGTAGCCAGGTGACTTGTAGGACTTGTGGTAGCCAGGTGACTTGTAGGACTTGTGGTAGCCAGGTGACTTGTAGGACTTGTGGTAGCCAGGTGACTTGTAGGACTTGTGGTAGCCAGATGACTTGTAGGACTTGTGATAGCCAGGTGACTTGTAGTCAAGCATCCAAGAAAATGTGTACACTATAATATTACTGGGAGTAGCTAGAAAATTATTCCTTTCGTATGCCTTCACTCAGGGCATCATATCTTTTAAACATTGTGTTACATGAGAATGTGAGTGTTTCTCTTTATTTATTCTATTGCATCAACGTGGAGACAATTTGTACACAATGTAAAGTGACGAAAACCAGACGAGTTCATCTGGTTTGTTTACATTACGTGTGGGTGGGGTGGGGAGGGCTTCCTTTCCTGGCTACCCATAATTCCCAACCTGATTTCATACAAATAAAACTCACCTCTCACCCTACATTAAGACTACAAATATTTTATGGTAATTAATTAGTGTACTATATATGTATTTTATCACTCTAGGGAGCTTAATGTTATACTAGGTGGGAGTGGCCAGGCAGGATGCCATACCTCCCACACGACTTTCTACAAATATGTAAATACTTTTCACCTCTCGCCCTACATTAAGACCCTTAAGACTACAAATATTTTAAGGCACGCAATGAGTGTACTGTACAGTGGTCCCTCGTTTTTCGTAGTTAATCCGTTCCTGGAGTTGCTACTATTATCGAAATCTACGATTTTCGAATCAATTTTCCCCATAAGAAATAATGTAAATACAATTAATCCGTTCCTGGCACAGAAGTACAGTGGACCCCCGCTTAACGATCACCTCTGAATGCGACCAATTATGTAAGTGTATTTATGTAAGTGCGTTTGTACGTGTATGTTTGGGGGTCTGAAATGGACTAATCTACTTCACAATATTCCTTATTGGAACAAATTCGGTCAGTACTGGCACCTGAACATACTTCTGGAATGAAAAAATATCGTTAACCGGGGGTCCACTGTATTAAAACAAAAAATCTTTTTACATGAAATATAGATGTAGTACATAAACAATACAATGGGAAATGATGAATGAAACATTAACAGCATAACACTTACCTTTATTGGAGATTCTTCTTAGTGTATGGGAGACTGGAGGAGGAGAGAGATTGGATTGTTTACAGTTTGGAAGGGGAATCCCCTTCCAGCAACACCTCAGGTACCAGTTGCTTTTCTGGGGTTGCTTCTCTTCTCTGTTTCTTAATGCCACTAGGACCAGCTTGATAGTCACTGGAGTCCTGTCTCGGAAAATAACTGTGGAGAGAGCTCTGTTTCTGGCGTCTCTTTAACACTTCCCTAAAATGGCCCAAGACTTTGTCACTGTACATGTTGCCAACATGGCTTGCAACAGCCTTGTCAGGGTGATGTTTCTCCATAAATCTTTCCATCTTACCCCACATAGCAAAAATCTCTAATTTCTGAAGAAGGCACCTTCTTCCATCTCTCTTCCTCCTCCTCTGCAGCAAGATTCTGAGCTGCGATCTGTTGCTGTTCCTGCTGAAGCTCTTGCAGCTCCTCAGTGGTGAGCTCTTCATTGTGGTCTTCCACCAACTCTTCCACATCCTCCAAACTCACATCCAACCCCAACAACAGCGTCCTTGATTTCCTCTTTCTTGGCCACGATGGAACATATAGTTGTGTAGGGTTTCTTATACATCCTGGCCAGTTTGGCCGCACTTGTGCCACTTTCATATTGTTCAATGATGTTTTTCTTAAATTCAATCGTATTTCTCACCTTCTTTACCACAGGCTTGGCACTAGGAGCTTTCTTTGGAGCCATGGTAGCTTATTTAGTACTTGCAAGCACTAAAATGAGTGGAATATTATGAAATATTTCGTAGGAGCACGTGAGTGGACCTTCGCTCACTGGTAAACAATGCCACACTGGCTGGGTAGGGAGGCCGCCCCGGCTCACACCGTGCGTAAGCGTCCCGGACAACCTACTGTTCGCGAGTCAACCTACGATTAGGGAGCCCATGTTTATACGAAAATATCCCTATGATTTCCGAAATCTACGATTATCGAGGGACCACTGTATGTATATGCATTCTATCACTAGGGAGCTTTAAGCATCATAGTACAGTGGACCCCCGGTTAACGATATTTTTTCACTCCATAAGTATGTTCAGGTGCCAGTACTGACCGAATTTGTTCCCATAAGAAATATTGTGAAGTAGATTAGTCCATTTCAGACCCCCAAACATACATGTACAAACGCACTTACATAAATACACTTACATAATTGGTCGCATTCAGAGGTAATCGTTATGCGGGGGTCCACTGTATTATATGTGCGGGTGGGGTGGCCAGGAGGGCTTCCACACCTGACTTCTTACAGTAAATACTACTCACTTTTAGCCCTACATTAAGACTACAAATATTTTGAGGTAAATAATGAGTATACTGTGTGTGTATTTTACTTTTTAACCCTTTCAGGGTCCGTGCCATAGTTCTACGGCTATACGTTGAGGATCCAAACCGTAGATCTATGCTATGAGCTCAGCTCACTCTGATAAGCTGTGAGTGGTAAATTTGGGCCTAGATATGAGAAAATACATCTATGTGGTATGTGTGCACCACATAAAACAAATCCTGCAGCACACAGTGCATAATGAGAGAAAAAAACTGAGACAGTAATTTTCAATTAAAACAGCGAGTTTGCAGTGTTTTTTTGTATGTTTTTTATTGTTGTATTCGCGATTTCTTGGTCTCAATTGATAGAATGGAAGATATATTACAGAAATTGAGAAGATTTTGATTGGTTTTAGTAATGAAAATTGCTTGAAACTGAGCTCAAAGTAGCAGAAATGATAAATTTTTGCCGATGTTCAACAGTAAACAAATGACCTCACACGTCTAATACACGCCAGCTGGTGTGTCTAATATACGTTCACAAATGTGGCGATATTATTTATACAATTATTACAATATTGCATAACAGTAAATCTTCTATTTTTTGGTTTGAATAAAAATTCATTATGTGAATAAAAAATCAAAATGGAATTCATTTGTAAAGCCTCAAAATGTAACTAATAAACAGAGGAAATGTTAGTTTAGTTCCAGGAATGTCTGCATTGTTTATTCTGGACCCTGTTTTGAAATTAGAATATTTTGCACTTTGTGTTAAACTGGCCAAATTACCAATTTCCGATCACTTTATTTTGTAGTTGAAACAGTTGACTTGGCAATTTCTTGTGCTCAATCGATAGAATAGAAGTAACACTAGTGAAATAGCTAAGAATTTGGCCGACTGGAATAATGTAATTGGCTTAAAATAGGTGTCACATCTGGCAAAATCGCCGATGCGTAAATATCGCTGACACATCAAAATTCGCAAGAGGATAATTTCGTCAATTTTTCATCAAATTTCATACTTTTTGTTTTATTACCTTCACAAAAAGATTCTCTATCATTTCATAAGAAAAAATAACAAAATTATTTTTTGAAAATTCTTGGACCCCGGTGCACACTTTGAAATTTGGCCTCTGGACCCTGAAAGGGTTAATGCCTAGTTCTATTGCTAACTTACTATATGTTAGTGTAATCTTGTTATCTGGCATTTATATGCATTTATAAATGGAAAAAATGGAGTTCTGCTTTCTGGCGAAGTCTGCTTTCCGGCAGTAGCCTGGAACCTAACCTGCCGTATAAGTGGGGCCCTACTGTATACTATATACGTCGAACACATTGGCTCGTAAGACGTATATATACGACCAAAACAGTCAAAGGGTTAAGTGTGCAATAGCACTAGGTCTAAAAAAAGGAAGACGCAAAAGTAAAAATAATAAATAAAAAAATGAAAATTGACAAAAACCATCTTAGGAGCAATGTAAGCACTGAAAATATTACAGGAACATAACTGAAAAATGCTGTATTCAGTCAATCAATTAATCAAGCTTATTCTCTATAAAGATTACAATGCGGGGTTTACAGATTTTGGATATTGTGTGGTTTACATGTTATAAAATACTAATTACAGAGGGGGCCACTATGACGCTTAGCATGGCTAGGCATTTCGGGCAGACTTAGATTAATTCTTAACTCTAAATTATTACAGATTATGGAGTAAGTTGGTATTAAGGCTAAGTGACTACATTATAGTTTGTGAATTTAGCAATGTGAATGCTTTTGTTTTGGTACGATACATAGTTTCTATATTGGAGTATCACAGGCAAACTTATGACTAGTTAGGATTCATTGTTTTAAGATTAAGATTCGTATTTCTGTGTTTATAGTCAAATGGGTGACTGAGTGTAAGTGTGAACCACCAAGTGGTTTTCATGTAGTTAGTTGACGGGGTGTTTCAGGGAGATAAGATGTTTTCTAACTGTAGTTTTGAAAGTGATGAATGTGTCTGCAGTTCTGGAGTTTTCTAGTAGGGTGTTCCAGATTTTAGGCCCTTTGACAGACATTGAATTTTTGTAAAGGTTTAGTCGGACATGGGGAATGTCTAGTGTTATGCCTGTGGGTCCTGTCACAACTATCAAGAAAGCATTTAAGGGCAAATTTAATACTGGAATTTAAGATCCTGTAGATGTGGATTGCACAGTAGTAAGTGTGGATGTTCTGAACAGGGAATAAGTTTAGATCTATGAAGAGTGGGGGGTTGTGTTGCCAGGGATGGGATTTAGTGATTATTCTTACTGCGCCTTTTTGTTGGGTTATTATTGGCTTTAGGTGTGTTGCTGTAGTTGATCCCTAAGCACAAATAGCATAGGCGAGGTATGGATAAATGAGTGAATGGTATAGTGTGACCAGGGCAGTTTGAGGCACGTAGTATCGTATCTTGGAGAGGATCCATATTAGTGAAATGCTCTAAAGTGAGTACTGTATTAATGACGAGATAAGCCTGTAATAATAATAATAATAATCAGAATCTCCCAAGAGCACAGTGTCATTAGCAAAGAGCAACTGTGACAACTCCCACTTCATGTGTGATTCTTTATCTTTTAACTCCACGCCTCTTGCCAAGACCCTCGCATTTACTGTACTTCTCTTACAACCCCATCTATAAATATATTAAACAATCATGGTGACATCACACATCCTTGTCTAAGGCCTACTTTTACTGGGAAATAATTTCCCTCTTTCCTACATACTCTAACTTGAGCCCTACGAGGATAGTGAGGCTCAAGTTAGAGTATGTAGGAAAGAGGGAAATTATTTCCCAGTAAAAGTAGGCCTTAGTGTGATGTCACTGTGGTTGTTTAATATATTTATAGATGGGGTTGTAAGAGAAGTAAATGCGAGGGTCTTGGCAAGAGGCGTGGAGTTAAAAGATAAAGAATCACACATAAAGTGGGAGTTGTCACAGTTGCTCTTTGCTGATGACACTGTGCTCTTGGGAGATTCTGAAGAGAAGTTGCAGAGATTGGTGGATGAATTTGGTAGGGTGTGCAAAAGAAGAAAATTAAAAGTGAATACAGGAAAGAGTAAGGTTATGAGGATAACAAAAAGATTAGGTGATGAAAGATTGGATATCAGATTGGAGGGAGAGAGTATGGAGGAGGTGAATGTATTCAGATATTTGGGGGTGGACGTGTCAGCGGATGGGTCTATGAAAGATGAGGTGAATCATAGAATTGATGAGGGGAAAAGGGTGAGTGGTGCACTTAGGAGTCTGTGGAGACAAAGAACTTTGTCTTTGGAGGCAAAGAGGGGAATGTATGAGAGTATAGTTTTACCAATGCTCTTATATGGGTGTGAAGCATGGGTGATGAATGCTGCAGTGAGGAGAAGGCTGGAGGCAGTGGAGATGTCATGTCTGAGGGCAATGTGTGGTGTGAATATAATGCAGAGAATTCGTAGTTTGGAAGTTAGGAGGAGGTGCGGGATTACCAAAACTGTTGTCCAGAGGGCTGAGGAAGGGTTGTTGAGGTGGTTCGGACATGTAGAGAGAATGGAGTGAAACAGAGTGACTTCAAGAGTGTATCAGCCTGTAGTGGAAGGAAGGCGGGGTAGGGGTCAGCCTTGGAATGGTTGGAGGGAGGGGGTATAGGAGGTTTTGTGTGTGAGGGGGCTTGGACTTCCAGCAGGCATGCGTGAGCGTGTTTGATAGGAGTGAATGGAGACAAATGGTTTTTAATACTTGACGTGCTGTTGGAGTGTGAGCAAAGTAACATTTATGAAGGGGTTCAGGGAAACCAGCAGGCCGGACTTGAGTCCTGGAGATGGGAAGTACAGTGCCTGCACTCTGAAGGAGGGGTGTTAATGTTGCAGTTTAAAAACTGTAGTGTAAAGCACCCTTCTGGCAAGACAGTGATGGAGTGAATGATGGTGAAAGTTTTTCTTTTTCGGGCCACCCTGCTTTGGTGGGAATCGGCCAGTGTGATAATAAAAAATAATAAAAAATAATAACAACAACAATAATAATAATAATATAATAATAATAATAATAATAATAATAATATTAATAATAATCAGAAAAGCAATTACAGTGGAACCTCTACTTACGAGTGCATCCATGTGTGATTTTTTCCAGATACGAGCAGCTGCTTGGTTGATTTTTTGCTTCCAGACGTGAGCAAAATTTCCAGGTGCGAGTGGACCTCAAGGGAGGTTAATTGACATTGGTGAGGGGGCTCGTGCTCTTGATCTAGGGAATTGGATCTCAGTTGTTTGTTGGACTATCTTATTGAAACTTGGGCAATGTATGATGAAAAGATGCTTCTTAACGTACACCAAAAATGAAAGAAATCGGACCATAAATAATGGAGTTCACTTCTCAGCCATTAGCCTCCCCTTAGCGGTATATTTTCGTATGGTTTTTATGGTTGTATTCTCGTTTTATTTGGTCTCATGTGATAGAATGGAAGATATACTACAAAAACAAATACAATTTTAATTGGTTTCACGATGAAAAGTACCTTGAAATTGAGCTCAAAATAGCAGAAATGTTCGATTCTTTGGCGACATCAGTGGTAGACATAATGAAGTAGCAGTGGCAGACAACATGAAGCAGCAGTGGCAGACAACATGAGGAAGCAGTGGCAGGCAACATGAAGCAGCAGTGACAGACAACATGAAGCAGCAATGGCAGACAACATGAAGCAGCAGTGGCAAAGTGTAGCATTAAGAGTGTAGCAATTAAGTGCAGCATTAAGAGTGTAGCAATTAAGTGTAGCAATTAAGAGTAGCATTAAGAGTGTAGCAATTAAGTGTAGCAATTAAGTGAAGCATTAAGAGTGTAGCACTTACAAGTCACTCTGTCTGACTTTTTTGGGTTATCCTAGGTTCTCTACACATGTAGTCAGGACCAGGAATGGCCGCCGTGGTGGGCCTATAAACCCCAACAACAATGGCCGCTGTTACCACCACTAGCCACATACCTAATGACATGTATTTTACTCATTCTAGTGTATATATCATGTTTCTATGTTATTAATATTGTTTATTATGTCATATTACATGAATTTTGAGAGATAAATAAGCTGTAGAAATGATATTAGGGAAATTATTAAAGTATTTTCTCGTGCCTGGAATTCCACTGGAATGAATTAATTCCATTTCAATTAATTTAAATGAGGAAAACTGACTCTGCAAACCAGCAAATTCAGTTGCGAGCAAAAAGTCATGGAACAGATTAAACTCGTAAGTAGAGGTTCCAATGTACTTTGAAGATGAACAATTTACAGTAACTTACAACAATTTACAGTAACTTACAACAATTTACATTAACTTACAACAATTTACAGTAACTTACAGAAATTTACAGTAACTTACAACAATTTACAGTAACTTACAACAATTTACAGTAACTTACAACAATTTACAGTAACTTACAACAATTTACAGTAACTTACAACAATTTACAGTAACTTACAATAATTTACAGTAACTTACAACAATTTACAGTAACTTACAACAATTTACAGTAACTTACAACAATTTACAGTAACTTACAACAATTTACAGTAACTTACAACAATTTACAGTAACTTACAACAATTTACAGTAACTTACAACAATTTACAGTAACTTACAATAATTTACATTAACTTACAACAATTTACAGTAACTTACAACAATTTACAGTAACTTATAACAATTTACAGTAACTTACAACAATTTACAGTAACTTACAATAATTTACAGTAACTTACAATATATTACAATTTACAGCAATTTACAACTTACATTACATTATAATATTAACTTACAATAATTTACAACTTATATTACTTACAATAATTCATAACAATTTACAGTAATTTACAACAATTTACAATAATTTACAACAACTTACAATAATTTACATTATCATCATTATAATTAAAAAAAGCATTTAACCTACTAGGGTCATTCAGCACTGCACAATAATTTACAACACAATAATTTACAATAACTTATAATAATTTACAACTTACAATAATTTATGACAACTTACAACAATTTATTCAATTTTTTTTATCAAGATATCAGCCATTTCCCACCAAGGCAGGGTGGCCCACCAAGGCAGGGTGGCCCACCAAGGCAGGGTGGCCCACCAAGGCAGGGTGGCCCACCAAGGCAGGGTGGCCCACCAAGGCAGGGTGGCCCACCAGGGCAGGGTGGCCCACCAAGGCAGGGTGGCCCACCAAGGCAGGGTGGCCCACCAGGGCAGGGTGCCCACCAGGCGGGTGGCCACCAAGGCAGGGTGGCCCACCAAGGCAGGGTGGCCCACCAAGGCAGGGTGGCCCACCAAGGCAGGGTGGCCCACCAAGGCAGAGTGGCCCACCAAGGCAGAATGGCCCACCAAGGCAGGGTGGCCCACCAAGGCAGAGTGGCCCACCAAGGCAGAGTGGCCCACCAAGGCAGGGTGGCCCACCAAGGCAGAGTGGCCCACCAAGGCAGGGTGGCCCACCAAGGCAGGGTGGCCCAAAAAAGAAAAACTTTCACCATCATTCACTCCATCACTGTCTTGCCAGAAGGGTGCTTTACACTACAGTTTTTAAACTGCAACATTAGCACCCCTCCTTCAGAGTGCAGGCACTGTACTTCCCATCTCCAGGACTCAAGTCCAGCCTGCCAGTTTCCCTGAACCCCTTCAAAAATGTTTCCTTGCTCACACTCCAACAGCATATCAAGTCCTAAAAACCATTTCCCTCCATTTGCTTCTAACACACTCATGCATGCTTGCTGGAAGTCCAAGCCCCTTGCACACAAAACCTTCTTTACCCCCTCCATCAAACTATCATTACACCTAGGGAAAACTGAAGCCATTCTCTTTGGCACGAAACATAAACTGAGAAGGGTAAATAATTTTAATGTTCAATGTAATGGGGAGCCCATCACTTTGGTTTCATCAGTAAAATATTTGGGAATCCCCTTTGACCCATGCATGTTAGGAGAATTGATAGGGGACAGTGTAGTAAAGAAAGCGAATGCCAAACTGAAGTTCCTGTATAGACAAGCACAGTGTCTACCTACTGAGGCTCGCAGGACCCTATGTCTAGCCCTTATACAATGCCATATGGATTACGCTTGCTCTTCTTGGTACTCTGCCTTGACAAAAAAACTGAAAGATAGACTGCAAATCACCCAGAACAAAATCGTAAGATTCATCCTGGGGCTGGGACCAAGAGAACATGTAGGCCAGGATGAATTACAGCAGTTGGATATGCTGAATGTTGAAGACAGAGTAAAACAACTGAAGCTAAATCATGTTTATAAAATTGCTCACAAACAATGTCCAGAATATCTTGCTGTCAATTTTGTCAAGGTTGGGAACCAAAGCAATCATAGTACTAGGGGGAGAGAGCACAACTTTGTAGTACCCACAGTCATTGGCCAGGCTTCAAACACCTTTTATTGTACAGCAATAAAGGAATGGAACAGACTACCCGACTACCCGCACATGTCAAAGCCAGTCATAGCGTGAACCAGTTCAAGAAGAGTGCCAAAAGGTGTCTGATGAATGTAGCTACAGAAAGGGAGGGGAATGATTTTCTATTTTTTAGCTAACATACGTGTAAATTTTACCTTATTCCTTGTAATGACCCTCGTATTGTAGATAGTCTTAATGACCTTGGTGTAGCAGATAGTCTTTTTAGTATGATAATAAGATGTTATCTTCATTGTAGAATAATAAGAAAATATTATAACCTTTATACTATAATAATAAGGTAAAAGGACCCCAATGGAAATAAGTCACTCTGTCTGACTTTTTTGGGTTATCCTAGGTTCTCTACACATATGCTGCTATGTATGATAATTCTATGTAACTGTATTTGTGTATACCTGAATATACTTACTTACTTACTTACTTATTCCATCCAACCTTTCCTAGGCCGACCCCTACCCCGCCTTCCCTCCACTACAGATTTATGTACTCTCAAAGTCATTCTATTTCGCTCCATTCTCTCTACATGTCCAAACCACCTCAGCAACCCTTCCTCAGCCCTCTGGATAATAGTTTTGGTAATCCCGCACCTCCTCCTAATTTCCAAACTATAGATTCTCTACATTATATTCACACCACACATTGCCCTCAGACATGACATCTCCACTACCTCCAGCCTTCTCCTCGCTGCAACATTCATCACCCATGCTTCACACCCATATAAGAACGTTGGTATAACTATACTCTCACACATTCCCCTCTTTGCTTCCATGGACGAAGTAATTTGTCTCCACAGACTCCTCAGTCCACCACTCACCTTCTTTCCCTCATCAGCTCTATGATTCACCTCGTCTATCAGAGACCCATCTGCTGACACGTCCACTCCTAAATATCTGAATACATTCACCTCCTCCATACTCTCTCCCTCCAATCTGATATCCAATCTTTCATCACCTAATCTTTTTGTTATCCTCATAACCTTACTCTTTCCTGTATTCACTTTTAATTTTCTTCTTTTCCACACCCTACCAAATTCATCCACCAATCTCTGCAACTTCTCTTCAGAATCTCCCAAGAGCACAGTGTCATCAGCAAAGAGCAACTGTGACAACTCCCACTTTATGTGTGATTCTTTATCTTTTAACTCCACGCCTCTTGCCAAGACCCTCGCATTTACTTCTCTTACAACCCCATCTATAAATATATTAAACAACCACAGTGACATCACACATCCTTGTCTAAGGCCTACTTTTACTGGGAAATAATCTCCCTCTTTCCTACATACTCTAACCTGAGCCTCAATAGTAAAATTACTAATCATGGGGGAGCACTAAACCCATAGGATTATATAGCACATGTGGGGGGGGGGATGGAAGGCATTCAGAGTCAATTCAGGGAACCAGAGCATAGATCCAATTCCCTAGATCAAGAGCCCCTCACCAGCTTCAAGGAACCTCCCTTGAGGGGAACAGTAGTAAAAACTTTTGACTGCTCTCAATAACCTACCTCCTATTCCATATATTTGCAACACCTGCAACATTGCCCTCCTATCCACCCTGTCATACACATTTTCCAAATCCATAAATGCCACAAAAACCTCTCTACCTTTTATCTAAATACTGTTGACTTCTATGACGTAATAAAGTGAATATTAAGGTGATATAAGATTTCATTCGGATTTTTAACCCCGGAGGGTTAGCCACCCAGAATGACCCAAGAAAGTCAGTGCGTCATCGAGGACTGTCTAACTTATTTCCATTGTGGTCCTTAATCTTGTCCTCCAGGATGCCACCCACACCAGTCCACTAACACCCAGGATGCCACCCACACCAGTCAACTAACACCCAGGATGCCACCCACACCAGTCCACTAACACCAGGATGTGACCCATCACTAACCAGGTCCTCACTAACACCAGGATGTGACCCCCACCACTCAGTCCACCCTAAACACCCAGGATGCCACCCACACCAGTCCACTAACACCAGGATGTGACCCACACCAGTCCACTAACACCCAGGATGCCACCCACACCAGTCCACTAACACCAGGATGTGACCCACACCAGTCCACTAACACCCAGGATGTGACCCACACCAGTCCACTAACACCCAGGATGCCACCCACACCAGTCCACTAACACCCAGGATGTGACCCACACCAGCCCACTAACACCCAGGATGTGACCCACACCAGTCCACTAACTCCCAGGATGTGACCCACACCAGTCCACTAACACCAGGATGTGACCCACACCAGTCCACTAACACCCAGGATGTGACCCACACCAGTCCACTAACTCCCAGGATGCCACCCACACCAGTCCACTAACACCAGGATGTGACCCACACCAGTCCACTAACACCAGGATGTGACCCACACCAGCCCACTAACACCCAGGATGTGACCCACACCAGTCCACTAACACCCAGGATGTGACCCACACCAGTCCACTAACACCCAGGATGCCACCCACACCAGTCCACTAACACCAGGATGTGACCCACACCAGCCCACTAACACCCAGGATGTGACCCACACCAGTCCACTAACACCCAGGATGCCACCCACACCAGTCCACTAACACCAGGATGTGACCCACACCAGTCCACTAACACCAGGATGTGACCCACACCAGTCCACTAACACCCAGGATGTGACCCACACCAGTCCACTAACACCCAGGATGCCACCCACACCAGTCCACTAACACCAGGATGTGACCCACACCAGCCCACTAACACCCAGGATGTGACCCACACCAGTCCACTAACACCCAGGATGTGACCCACACCAGTCCACTAACACCAGGATGTGACCCACACCAGTCCACTAACACCCAGGATGTGACCCACACCAGTCCACTAACACCCAGGATGTGACCCACACCAGTCCACTAACACCCAGGATGTGACCCACACCAGCCCACTAACACCCAGGATGTGACCCACACCAGTCCACTAACACCCAGGATGTGACCCACACCAGTCCACTAACACCCAGGTACCTATTTGCTGCTAGGTGAACAGGACAACAGGTGTAAGGAAACGTGGAAATGTTTCCACCCCGCCGGGGATCGAACCCAGGCCCTGCGAGTGTGAAGTGAGAGGTTTAGCCACCAGGACACTGGTGTTGAGTAAATTTATCCAGCCACTGAGGGCGGAGCCCCCTCATACACACATCAAACAAGCTTTATTCAGCTTAAATACAACGTTTTACACTCAAGCTTATAATTTACTTTCCTACAATAGCTGTATTAAATACGAGAATACAACCAAGGTTAGTGAAATCGTGACTAATTTTAGGGGGCGGTGGCCCCCCAGCGACCCCCTACCATACTCTACCTTACCTATATAACATGTAGAGACGACAGAGGGGGCCTGGCGAGGGCTCTTGATCCAAGGAAATAAGATAATAAAAGAGCTTCACTTTCCTCGACTTTATCCTCAACAATGTAAACAAACATTCACAAATGATGTGAAAAATAAAAATTTATTATTTACATTGTATAAAGTATTATTACTCTTTATTACCACTCATAATTTGCATAGAAAATAATATTATTAATAATAAATGTCACTTGTTAGAGCCATATTACTCACAGAATAACACATGCTAATAACTAAGAAAAAAAAACATTATAACAATTATTTAACATTTATTAACACTCATAATATGTTTAATAATAATGATGATTATACTGCACAATAAAGTTATGTCAGTATATTCATAAATAAAAAATATGTAAATGCAATCTGTTTTTATTCAGCTATGACTTTTATATTTAAATAATAATAATAATAATAATAATAATAATAATAATAATAATAATAATAATAATAATAATAATAATAATAATAATAATGGTTTTTATTATTATTATATTTTATTTTAACAAACAGATATAGCCATACATATATCTACATACAATTATATATAAATCCCCTTATACACCTACATGTTCATATCGACACCATGCCTAACACTTCTAGGGTAGGGCAGGTCATCGACACCATGCCTAACCCTTCTAGGGTAGGGTAGGTGCCTGAGCCCGAGCCTTTAGCTCATAAGACTGTCATTCCATTTGCCCCTTGGGCGGGGATGGCAACCAGAGAGGCTAGCTTGTGGCTAGGCTGGGACAGTTGTCCAAAAGATGAGGAGGTACTTGTGCCTCCTCCATGGGGACTTAGGTCCCAGACACCCTAAGAGGAGCAAGGCCGGGCCACTACTTGGAAAAGGCCCAGGCCGGGAGAATACCGGCTAATCTGTAATAATAATAATAATACATGTTCATGAATACATGTGAACCAAGGCCGGGTCACCACTACTTGGAAAAGACCCGGGCCGGGAGAATACCGGCGAATAAAAAAAAAAAAAAAAAATATGATACAGGTTATATCATGTATGAATAAGTCAGTTTATTCAGGTATACACAAATACAGTTACATAGAATTATCATACATAGCAGCATATGTGTTGAGAACCTGAGATAACACAAAAAAGTCAGTCAGACACAGTGACTTACTTCCATTGGGGTCCTTTTACCTTATTATAATATAAAGGTAATATGTAGGTAGTAGGTTGGTAGACAGCAACCACCCAGGGAAGTACTACCGTCCTGCCAGATGACTGTGAAACAGAAACCTGTAACTGTTTTGCATGATGGTAGGATTGCTGGTTTCTTTTTCTGTCTCATAAACACGCTAGATAACAGGGATATCTTGCTACTCCTACTTACACTTTGGTCACACTTCACAGACACGCACATGCATATATATATACATACATCTAGGTTTTTCTCCCTTTTTCTAAATAGCTCTTGTTCTTCCTTATTTCTTCTATTGTCCATGGGGAAGTGGAAAAGAATCTTTCCTCCGTAAGCCATGCGTGTCGTATGAGGCGACTAAAATGCCGGGAGCAATGGGCTAGTAACCCCTTCTCCTGTAGACATTTACTAAAAAGAGAAGAAGAAAAAATTTATAAAACTGGGATGCTTAAATGTGCGTGGATGTAGTGCGGATGACAAGAAACAGATGATTGCTGATGTTATGAATGAAAAGAAGTTGGATGTCCTGGCCCTAAGCGAAACAAAGCTGAAGGGGGTAGGGGAGTTTCAGTGGGGGGAAATAAATGGGATTAAATCTGGAGTATCTGAGAGAGTTAGAGCAAAGGAAGGGGTAGCAGTAATGTTAAATGATCAGTTATGGAAGGAGAAAAGAGAATATGAAGTGTAAATTCAAGAATTATGTGGATTAAAGTAAAGGTTGGATGCGAGAAGGGTCATAAAAACGTGTATGCACCGGGAGAAGGAGGAATGCAGGGGAGAGAGAGAGTTTTTTGGGAGATTTAAGTAAATTGAAAGGGAGCCTTTAACCAAGTGAGAGAGAAATTTTGGGTTGGGGATGAATGCAAAGTAGGAGAAATTTTTAGAGAGGGTGGGAGGTAAGTTTGGGGTGCCAGTGTAAATGATAATGGGAGCCCTTTGTTTAAACTTTGTATAGAAAGGGGTTTAGTTATGGGTAATACATTTTTAAGAAAAAGGGGATAAAAAATATACAAGAATGATGTGGGGCCAATGACAGTAGTTTTTTGATTATGAGGGGTAATAAAAACTGTTGATAACTTCGGGGGTTTCATTTTTATAGAGGGGCCACGATTTCAACCCTTTTCTATTGGCTACACTGAGAAGTAAAGGGTGGGAAAAAGGGAAATAGAAGCATCGGGAAGAGAGAGGTAAAGGTTTATAAACTAAAAAGGGGGGAGGCTTTAGGGAAGTAAAACAGTTTGGGAAAAAGGATGGGCAATGAGAGATAGAAATGGGGTCAAAGAGGTAGGGGGTGGTTTTTTAAAAATTTAGTTTGAGTGTTAGCAGAAGTTTGTGGTTACGGGAAAGTGGGTGCGGGGGGGAAGGGGAGTGTTTGGGTGAATGATGATTAAAGAGAGTAGTAAGGGAAAAAATTTTAGCATAGGGAAATTTTTTACAAAGTAGAAGTGATGCAAGGGGGGAAGGTATAGGGAGAAAAAGAGAAGGCTAAAGAGGGTGAAGCAATGTAAAAAGGGGGAAAAGGAGGGGGGTAATGTTATCAAAAAATTTTGTTGAAATAAAAAAATTTTTTTGGAGTGAATTAAAAAGTTAAGAAGCCTAGAAAACAAATGGATTTGTCAGTTAAAAAGGAGGGGAGAGTTTTTAAATGGAGATTAGATTTGGGAAAGATGGGGGAATATTTTGAGAATTGTTAAATGTTGATGAAAAGGGAACTGTGGTTTCGTTTTTAAGGACAAGGGGAAAAATAACACTTGTAGGGTGAGGAAGAGCCAGTTGTGAGTGGGGGGAAAGTTCTGAGGCAGTAGTAAAATAAAAGGGGGGAAAAGGGCACCGGGTTTTGGGGGGAAAAGATAGAAATGTAAAAGCAGGTGGAGATATATTTTGGAGTGGTTGGGGCAATTATTTAATAAATGTATGGAAGAGGGGAAGGGACCAGGGGTTGGCAGAGAGCATGATGTTCCTTTGATAAAGGAAAAGGGGGTAAAAAGAGTGCAAAAAAAATTTTAGGGGGAAATCGCTGGTATACCTGGTAAAGTGTATGGGATTTTTTTTGAAAAATTTAAAAGGGAAAGGAAAAGAAAAGCAATGAACAAGGGGGCTTTAGGAAAATGGGGGGGTGTGGAGCAGGGGTTTCAGTGGAAACATTAAGTGAACGTATTTTTAAAAAGGTTAAAGAGGTCTTTGTGGGATTTAGGATTTGGAAAAAGGGTATGCAGGGTGGATAGGGGGGGGAAATGTGGCAATGTTGCAAGGTATGGTGTAGGAGGGGTTATGAAAGCAGTGAAGAGTTTTTCGAGGATGTGAGGGTCAAGTTAGAGTATTGGAAAGAGGGAAAATTCCCAGTAAAAAGGCCTTAGACAAGGAAAGTGTGATGTACCGGGTTGTTTAAATTAAATTTTAATGGGGGTTGTAAAGAAGTAAAATGCGAGGGGCTTGACAAGGGCTGGAGTTAAAGATAAAGAATCCACACAAATTTGGGAGTTGTCACAGCTTCTTTTGATGACACGGCTCTTGGGGGATTTGAAAAATTGCCCGAGATTGGTGGATGAATTTTTGGGGGGTGTGCAAAAAAGAAAATTAAAGGGGAAAAACAGGAAAGAGTAAGTTATGAGGATAACAAAAAGATTTGGGGTGAAAAATTAATATCAGATTGGGGGGAAGAGTTGGGGAGGTGAATGTATTCAGATATTTGGGAGGGGGAGTGTCGAGATGGGTCAGAAAGAAGAGTGAATCATAGAATGATGGGGGAAAAAGAGTGAGGGGTGCACAGGATCTGTGGAGACAAAGAACTTTGTCCTTGGGGGCAAAGGGGGGAATGTATAGAGTATGGTTTTACCAAGCTTTAATGGTTTTAAACCCTGGGTGAGATGTTGCGCGGGGAAAGGCTGGAGCATGAGATTCGTGTTGGGGGCAATGTGTGGTGTGAATATAAGCGAGAATTCGTAGTTTGGAATTTGGAGGGGTGGGATTCCCAAAACTGTTGTCCAAAGGGCTGGGGAAAGGGTTTGTTGAGGGGGTTCAGACTGTAAGAGAAGGAGCAAAACAAAATTACTTAAAGAGTGTATCAGTCTTAGTGGAAGGAAGGGGGGGTTGGGGGTCGGCCCTGGGAAAGGTTGAAGAGAGGGAGTAAAGGGGGTTTTTTTTGTGCGAGGGGTTGGACTTCCCAGACGGAGCGGGGTTTGTGGATGAAGGAACAAAGGGTTTTTTAAAATACTTACGTGTTTTTTTGGGTGTGAGCAAAGTAACATTTATAAGGGGTTCAGGGGAAAACCCCCAGGCCCGGGCTTGAGTTGGAGATGGGAAGTACATCCGCACTCTGAAGGAGGGGGTGTTTTAAAGTGCGTTTTAAAAAAATGAGTGTAAAACACCCTTCTGGCAAGACAGGATGGAGTGAATGGGTGAAAGTTTTTTTTTTCGGGCCACCCTGCCTTGGGGGCCACCCTGCCTTGGTGGGAACGGCCAGTGGATAAAATAATAAAAATACTTTTTTTAAATAAAGAAAAATACTTATTTTTTTTTATAAAGGGGAAAATATCTTATTTCTCGTCAAACGTCTACTACCAGGGTCATTTAACTTCTACTACACGAGGGGCATTAAGACTATTACTACCGAGGGGCATTAAGACTATTTTCACACCAGGGTCATTAGACTGCTACTACACGAGGGTCATTTAAAATATCTACTACACGAGGGGCATTAGCTGTCACTCACGAGGTATTAAGACTATCTACTACAAGAGGGCATTAAGCTACTCTACACGAGGGTCATTAAAACATTTACTAACCAGGGGCATTAAGCTGCTACTACACGAGGGGCAAAAGCTATCTATACACGAGGGTCATTAAGACTACTACTACACGGGGTCATTAAGATTTACTACACGAGGGGCATAAAACTATCTACTACCAGGGGCATTA